CCCCCCTTCCCAAAAAAGAAGAAAAAGCCGAAAAGAAACCCCAAAAAGATGGGGGGGAAAAACCCCAAAACATCCATCCCTTTTCGATATAAAAATGTTGCCAACTATTTAGAGCTGAGGTCTACATCTCTATCAATCTTTCAAGTTAAAAAAAAATCGTGTCAAAATGTGCTATAGATCTAGGTACTTTTACTTAAGACAGCCTGAGTAAGAAAGAAAATGTATTGGGTTTGTGTGTGTGTGTGTGTGAGTGAGTGTGTGAGTGTGTGTGTGTGTGTGTGTGTGTGTGTGTGTGTGTGTGTGTGTTGTTGTTGTTGTTTTGTTTTGCTTTGGTTTTTTTGTTCATTGATGCGCGCCAATCTGTACAGCATAATAAGCAGTTACTTCGTCATTACTATATATATATTAATATTGAGTTCAAATAGTTCATGCATCGATCATGTAGAAGGCAGGCAGTCTTGAGTCCAGCCTATAACTCTTATCAGTGAAAAAAAAACCCAAACGACTGTGGATAATCATCCCATCAAAAAAGACACAGATACTCAGTATAATAGATGCCGCACGTTGGAATTTAAAGCATCATCCTTTGCGTAGCTTTGCAAAAGCCAGTTCATTTCAATTTTCAAAAAGTACATTCGGTGCATTCTTTAAAGTAGGCCAAGGTCTGAGGTAGCAACTTAGCAAGGGAAGATAACCTGTGTAAGTGGATGAACGTATAACAAACGCACATAGAGGTACATAGATCTACATGCGGCATGTTTGCAAAGCGCTTACAAGTTTACAATAATAGCATACATTGACATGAAGAGGCTCAGTATTGTCATAGTTAATACAGATCCTACATTATAATAATATACAAACTCACACGTAAACTTACGTTTTGAGCGTTCGTCATGTGCGACTCTCGGTTTAGAGAGGAAAGCGAATGATAACGTCAACAGTTGGTTCAGAGAAATCACGTTAACAGACAGATCCGACACATGGAAATGACTCTCTTCGCAAGTAATATAGGCATTATATGTAAGAACACCTGTTATCGTTTAATCTAACTGCACATATCGCCCGGTTCAGACACTCTCCCAATGCAAACCAAATGTATTTCAGTCATGTGACGCAGCAATTTTTGGCCTAGATAAGAGGCGTCACGGGAAAGCAAAATCTAAGAAAAGAATGGTTGAATAACTGAATGAACAATGTCTATTTTTAGTACACGGTTTCTCCAACAAATAGGACAGGCTACACTTCTAGACGGTCAGCAGAGACCGTAGTAGGTCTATAAGAACGTATAGCTGCACATGCTTTTAGACTTCAGACGTGTGTGTTCTTTTGGTGTAGGCTACATGTACAGCTCTTGTTTCTTAAGTAGGAGGAGGGTGTCGTTGTTGTTAGTTACAGAAAGGATAAAACATAGTTCCTAGGTAGGTAGGGAACAAGAGAGGGGGGGGGGGG